CCCTCCATCGTCTCAGTCAACTCAGGCAACTTGATGAGCGAAGACATAGCGTGCATTATCTGATACCACACCTTCGCCACTTCCTATCCACACTGCCCCACTCCCACCTGTGTTGAGCCCGCGACGGCCTCCCCCATTTTCATAGTCATCGCCGCCTGTTGCAACTGCATACTAACGCTGTTCATCTGAGCCTTAGCCATAAGCATCCTATCTCGCGTCTTCCTCGTCCGTACTATCTAACAATCCCATACCACACTTCCGACACTTCACGCCAGCAACTACCTCCTTCGCCAATATCCTTATGCTGGAGACCTCCTTCTTCCTCGCCAAGCCCTTTATCTCAAGCTCGACCTTCTTCTCTTCCCTCTCCATCTTCCCACACTCCCTGTCTATCTTCCTCATCTCCGACCGCAAACTGCGCTGCCATGCCCTACCATAATTCCACTACCTCCTACAACCTCCCCACTGCTACTACCGAGCTTGCTCTTTACTCATGGCCTGCTGCTGCGGTTTCGTCGTACGCGTGCCGAAGAAATTGAATTTCATCTATCGCGACCAGAACAGAAACCAAATAGCACCGCGCCTTCATCCATTAAAAACAAACTCAAACGCAACAGCCGTTCACTTCACTAATTAAGATCACCATGAGAAACTACTTATAACCGCTATAAAACCCCCAAAAACCCCATAGGGCCGCTCTAACGATTAAACACGCGAAGTTGGACATTTGCTATAAGCAGCAAGTCCTTTCAAGTCCTCACTGGTACCACTACGCTTTCAGCCTCACTTTCTTATCAACAGAAACGCTGGATTAAAAGGACCGATCCCCACCATGTTTTAAACTCTGGGGAAGTTTCGCCAACGTCAACTTCGGTGCAGATCTCTTTTTCCACCTACCACACCAGCCGCAATTCCCGTCCAACCGAGAACATAACGCATAATCATCGAACATATCTCCAGCATAGAGTGCCGACCTTCCTAAACGAATTCCACACCCGCCAACCTAACATTCATATTCCAATCGTTGCCCTACTACAGCTTTTCAATCTCAAATTCGACAAGTGAAAGAACAAATTAGAGATGAAATTTGATTCTCGACGAGTGGAAAGAGTTTTTCACGAAATGAAAGTTCAAATTCGAAATGAAATTTTTGAATTCGGAAACGCAAGTTCAAATTCGTCGAACACAAGACCAACTTCGACCAATGAAGCTCAGAGCTCAGACTAGGCAAGCAAACATTTATTCCAACACTGCCTGATACATAGTAGTTTTCCTCAACCACGAAGCAATCGACCGCAGAGAGGACTATGAGCTCCAAGCAATAGGAGACATTATTGATCATCAACAACAACTTATCACTGTCATCTTCATCTCGTTGTTGATATGAGCCTACGTGGATGAGGTCTCGAACCTTTATGGGGAGAGTGAATTCAAGGAGTTTATCACAGAATTGGTCTATAGGAACGTAGTCCGCGTGATGACGTTACTTGTCGAGTAATGAACGAGTGGCATCTCATCGAGTTCGGGTCTGATATAATTTCGCAGATGTCCATGGCAGGATAGTCGAAAATGGCAAGTGCCGATCCATCGGCATTTCGAGTCAATCCACACTAACCCAATGATCCCTTAGATGGGTGTTTATTTCGTTTGAAAAAATGACAGAAAAATGTTCCCTCCCGGGATCGAACCTGCGTCCTCGCTGCTTGCCAGAATTGAATAAGCGATGCTTCCTCAATTCTACCCACGCTTCCGAAGCGTACGGGCCCCCGTGCACCTGTGTGCAGGAAGGAACGCTCCAGACTAGGACCCTAGTGGGACCGATGGCTGGCAAGATTCCTCCGTAAGCTCATCCCCCAAGCTATAATCTGATCCATCAGTGCCGCAGGATTCCGATGCGGTTCACTGCTATGGCGCAGGGTGTACCCAACTAGCACGCATGCTTGCCAGTCGGACAAATCGATTGACATGGCGCGCGCTATCTAGTCCGCGCCTGCAATTCTGTGAGGGAGTTGAATAAACTGCCAAACGTGGGATCCATGATCTGCGGAGGGGAGTAGAAAACTTTATTGCGTCCCTGTGCACTCTCCTCATGCTACATCAACGTGCAGGAACTTCAGAGGTCAATCGACCTGAGGGAACTCAAACACTTGTCCTTTGGTGACGTAGACTATACATTTAGTCCACACATGTCTATAACGTTGATAATAGGCTCCCCGAGATAGGACTTTTACCGT